AGATGTGCTAGCAGCATCATTAGCCCAGTAATGAGAACAGTCAGGCTGGTGACACGATAACTGGTCATCAACCTTCGATCAACAACAGCGCCACAAATAAGTCTTCCAATGACGTCACATCCGCTCAATGTAGACACTAATAACGTTATCTGACCAGAATTGATGCCAATGTCGCGTGCTAGGGCCGTGATGTAAATATGGCCATAAGCCGATCCTATACTCCCCATGCAGTAGACGAACAGGAATAACACCATGACGGGATTCCGGAGAAGTGACAGGTCGTTTAAGATTACCGACAGGCACGATTTTCTTTCCCTGTCCGGGCCGTTTAAATCACCTGTCGTCTCTTGTGCAGAGAAATCTGCAGAAGCCTGCAGTTGGGAAATATCTGTTAGAGAGTTAGTGAACAAATCACCATGACTAGGAAATAAGGTATATTGCGAACCTTTGGCTTTTCTCACAACACCGGATGTTTGCAACGTTTGTCTTGATTCAGAATCAAGGGGAAGTACCTCTGTGTCTTCAGTATACAGATGGTATTCTTTGCAATGTTGGTTGCCGTCTGTGTGATCAGTGCACTCGTGTATCGCCATGGAGATACTACTGGTTCCTGGATGTTTGTCAAATTTAGAGACATTCGAGTTTCGAATATAATCGTTACCACTTAACCGTTTCCGATAAGAATTTTGTGATGTCTCAAACATTCTTACGTGATGGTCCATCTCGTTATCAATATCGTCTAATTTTGATTTAGCTAACAAATCATTACCGATTGGTTTAACACCAGAATCTGAAATATTTTTCGGACAATACGAGCTATGTTTATGGTGGGCAGAACAAGACATATTTCCTGCAGACTATTGGCATGGCTCATCATTGAAAAATTCGCCTTGATGTTTGCCATTTGTGATTGGACCATCATCCTCTTTGTTTTCTTTCATTAAATGAACGTCTTGATTGCCGGGTTGGATGTAGTAAGTTGGTGGGCGCATCAACATGGCACCAATCGATGTGTGAAAGATCACTGCTGACGTGAGGAGTAGAGCTCCGCGAAGGCCGTAAGTCTCAAGAAGGTTCTGGAAGAGTGATGGTAGAACGAGACCACCGATACTTCCACCTGCTGCCATACAAGCATTTGCTAGGCTTCGCCTCTTCTCAAAGTATTGACCGATGACGTAAGTGCTAGGTCCATGGAAAAATCCTAAAGCAATCCCTGAAAAATATACACATTAGTTGTTAAATAGAAATAGTTGTATGCATCGTTTATTAGGATACCATTTAAGAAAAATACAAATGACAACATTAATTTGTTATTCAATTTGAATGGTGTCAGGTAAAAAAAATCCTGACCAATCGCTAGGCTGATACCTGTACTTTGAACATAACAGAGGAGCGACACCCGACTTCAAACCCAGTCAATTTTACCGTTACGCGACCGACACATTCTTTTGATGTTTATCAAAGGATCAAACTAGTCTTCTCGTCTCATCAACAAGGTGATGCACACAGAGCCTTTAATTTTGCTATTACATATTCCAGGGGTGCAGAGAGCGAAAGTGAG